TTTACGGTGGGAAACGGCCCTTGATTTTTTATTCAGTGCCACCTGACAGTTTATCTGTGCTTTGTCACCTGGCAGATTCTGGAATATTGGTGAGTGCTAGTGTGATGCTTCCATTGGGTTGAGCATTGTTGAAGGATCGTTGTTTATGATTGACCTGGTCAACAGTTCGGCGGTTGACAGTACTGTTGTTGTCTACTTTGAAGTAAACTCAGCATTGAACTATACTCTCCATGTAAGCGTCGTTGCTGCTGTAAGAATGGGATCGTTTTGCTGGGCAATGAGGATTCAGTCTCCTACTATCTAATGGTTTTCCGAATTTCGAAAAAGGAGATGATACGGTTTATGGCTTAAGTTATTTGTTCGAGTAGAAAGAAGACATGTTGCGATATGTTAACAGTCGTAAACGTAAGACTTGCAAGTTATACACATCATGCAGATAAGGAGAGACAGGGATTAGACATGCATGCAAGCACACCAAGTACTATGTAATCACGACCATGGCAACCCGATGGGATATCTCAACCAGTTTTGTGCGCACAACGTCGGCTGGTAAGTTCGGATGAGCATCGCTTCATAGAAAGCTAATAGCTTCGTGTTTCGATTGCGCAACAGTATCTTGAATGAGTTCAGTGGGTCAACTTGGTGACTTGTTGCCATGAGGTGTTCGGCAATCGACGAGGTTGGGTTTCGAGCCGTCGGTGCAACAAGTTGAGGTTGGCGCGTCACCTTTTGTTTCAACCACTTCGTAGTGTGTTCGGCGACTCGCTTAGATCGTTGTCCATCTGCTCTGCCTATGTAAACGTCACTGCAGCTGAAAGTAAACTGGTAAACAATATGGGAAGCAAAGGAGTTTGACAAGCTATATTTGCGATTGCGGTGGACTGGTATTCTGGTAGTATGAAATAAGCGCAACTGTGCAGCCGCATACGTTCGAGCCAAAGCAGACGTTAGTTTGCGCCCTTATGTCGTTGACTAACTGGTCACCTTTGAATGGTAAGAATAGGAAAACACCCCTCCTTTGAGTTGTCGGTTATTTTCAGCTACTTGGTTGAACCATTATACTTGTGTAATGATTGCATGAATGGTTTTTCTATCTCTGCAGGTTGGGTTATCTGTTTCGGCACCTCTTACTGCATTACTAATAAGTGATTTACCAGATTTGTTAATTTAAGAAGTCCAATGGTGACTAGACTCGCCACATGTGCAGCATGTGAAAAGTTACCATAATATGTTGTTTTCTTTCTCCATGCTCGTCTGTTATGTTGATGATTTCGGTTGTTCTGCATAAGGTTCTTCTGGCATCTGTTTGCTTCATTGGCGCGAAGCCAATAAGACGCGAGTATTAATCGCCAAATTTTGATTTTCAGTTAGTTGTTGATTTCAACTATCCATCTTGACATCAAGTGTTTAGGTTGACTAGAAAGGAATGTGCAACTGCCAGCTTCTATCTCATGCGATGTAATGTAACTCTATTGACGGGAAATTCATATGATCGGAAAATGATATGAGGATGATGAGAAATTACTTGCTACTTCACAACGTTCTTCAATTGATTGACTCGGTTCATTTACCAAAATGAATTCAAGAGAGTTACTCACAAGCACACTGTATACTTACAAGCTTAGTTTACTTGTTCGTTTGTTGTTGATATGCGCTTTTCACATATAGTTAACGACTGATGGAAGAAGTGGAAAGGCCAACGTCTTTCGACACGCTTCTCCTTCTGTTGAGAGGGTGACAAATAATGATAACCAGAACAATTATCCTAGCTGAATCTGGCTTGAGGTTTAAATCCCCATTCTATCGAGGTGCACATGTGAATTTTCCCAAATGAAAAGTTTCAAGACTATCTTTTCCGCCTGTTCACATATGCCGCCAAAAGCTCTTTCGCGCGAGAACTATACTTCATTGTGTTTTAGTGTCCGATGGTAACACAATAGATTTTTAACTGCATTCTCCATCTTCCGTTTCGGTTACCTCAAGTTACTTTTTCTTGGTTTGCGTATGCCTTCTAACACAATTCATTTCCAGATTTTATTTACAGACCTGCAAGCTTAAGGAAGAATTGTGAAAATATTTAGATTTGTGCCTTGTTAAGTGTCCACTGAACAGAGAACATAACTAGAAGGTGTAATGGCATCTTCTCGCGAAACTCCTAGTCAGTAACTTCGGGCCAGACTATTGGGGTTGTTACACACATGTGCTACAACAGCGTCAACAGTTCAGTAACTTATTTAAGAGTGCAACCGGTAAACAGTGCTACATAAAGTTTAGATTCATTTCAGGTCTAGCTAAGTAGTAGACAAAAATTTGTGGGGGTTTCTTGAGCTGAACGATAAAATAACTTTTTGATGTGTAAACGCTCGGCAAGACCTGTGGAACCGCGTTTAGACAGAAGTTCGCCACCAGCACCTCGTCGACCGTTAAAACGAAGAAATATGTTTCATTGATTAGCTTTTTAAAAAATGATAATGGTAGGGTTCAACTGAAATGTGGTATTGACCTTTAAACGTTGCTGTAACAGGAACGGAACCTACTAAATAGCAGGCATACAAGTATCATAGAAATACTTTTTGCGAATACTTAGCTGTTTACTTAATGTACTGGATTTTTAATCAAGTACGTAATGTATGAGTTGCAAAATGAAGCAGCAACGTGTACATTTGGTTACGATAGTGTTGAACAAAAATTTCCCGGACAGCTGAATGTTTAATAACTTTGACAAGCAGTCGGTTGAAACGCGCCAACTCTTAGAAGAATGCATATGCATATATATGCTTATAAATTATATTTCCATTCTTTACAGCATGGTCGGAAAGGTAAAACTACTGATAAGTAGTCGGGAATTTGGCTTATTTCAAGTTGAACGTCACCCACAGTTGTTTACAGCTGTCACATTTCCATATACTTTCCGGTCGGCTCCTTTCGAAAAGAAGCACTAGACTCGAGTTTCGCTCTCATTAGAGCTCATCAGCAGGTCATATCCTCGTCCGGACCGAAATTTGTATTGCGACCGTCTCGCTTGCGGGAATGGCCTGTTAACCACAACATCAGCAACCTTGACAACTTGATCAAACCTTAACGCCCAACCGAAGCTTTGGGTGACT